AGTATATGTTGGTTGCAGCCTGAAGCAAAACTGCAGGCTCAAAACACAGAAATTTTATACAGCAAGCATGTCCTGCAGAGATCTATCTATCCATTATTCCATCCCTAAATATGCACATCCTAAATAATTCAATTTATTTTTTGAAGACATGTATATAGCTGCTGAACTCAAACACTGAGACTTTGGGCAGTTTACAATAAATGGAAAATAAGCAAAAGCAAATAAACAATTCAGTAAAAATGAAAACAAACCCATGGTGGGCAATCTGGAGCTTGCAATTGCTACCTTCCTCCAGATAGGAATGCTAACAGCTGAGCTCTAGCACTAGAGGAGAAAATCAGATTTTTTAAAAATGCCTTTCTAAGGCCAATTTGAACAAAGGTATATTTAATCCAGTGTTCAAAATAATTCAAGATCACATATTTTTCCAAGGTAATCGTTCATCATTGAAAAATCGTGTGTCTTTGGGGATTGTTTTAAAAGTATTCTTAATTTATATTTCCATTCTAGGATGTTGATCTTTGGAATGAAAAAAAAACCAAGACAAGATAGTGCAATGTGCTGCTTTATGCTCTCATAACTCATTAATAGATAAAACAGGGTTTTTGTCTGATTAGAATAATAAAATCATTTGGAGAAAAATTCTACTTCTGGGATTTTTTCAACATCAGTGGGTGGCCTCAAGCGCTGGGATTCCCTGGTATTCTCCCAATGAAGGATAATCCTAGACAAAGTAAGCCAGGTGCTGCCATCTGTTGAGAATAAATATAAAATCTTCTCCATAAACAACCTTCATAAGCCACTACTTATCTCCTGACTGAAGTGGGAGGAAACACATTAACTTGCATAACTGGAAATGCATTCTACATCCCACCTCTATGTTTACAAACATGTGCATCGTGTTAATGGACACATGATTTATGTTTTCACCTCAGCATAGATAAAAGTGCACTGTGTTGTGCTTCTATGAAGATCTTTGTACAAATTGTACATTGTTAGCATAAACATCTTCACATGCTACAAATTAGCAAACTGCAATTTATACAGTGTAACAAACTAGACAAGAGGAGGGAAAGGGAGATGAAAGTCATGATTCTGAATTACAAGGGGACATATTTTTCCCTTTCATTACATGCATCAAATTTTTAGGTATACAGGAAACTGTACCATCAGACTGAGTTCATCATAATTTCATCAACTTTAATGGTTGATATTAGTGCAGGAGAAACCCAAATGCTAAACTTGATTGACAAATTCCTGTTACATCATTTGATGGTTTCAGGTGAAGTGAACCAATTATATCAAAAGTATCTGAAGAGAAAATAGTTTTAGGTAATCAGGAAAACATGGTTAACCCAATTAAAGAATTACTAAATACCTTTGGCCCTGTGACCGTTGAAGCTTAACTGTTTGGAGAAAGACATTCTAGTGAATTCATTCTGCATTCAGGATGAGTTGCTCATTGACATATCAAATTATATGGCTGCACAACTTTATGAGATACAGTCATCTTTGATAGGCACATTCAGAAATAAGTCCCCACTAAACTGGATGAAGCAAACTTTCAAATCAGGGTCACCAGGAGATACAGACCCCAGATAATCTGCATGGTACAGGTAGTCCTCAACTTACAACAATTCATTTAGTGAATGTTCAAAGTTACAAAGGAACTGAAAAAAGTGACTTATAACCGTTTTTCACACAACCCTTGCAGCATCCCTATGGTCACATGATCAAAATTCAGATGCTTGGCAACTGGTTCATACTGATGACATATTTATGATCAACATTCAGATGCTTGGCAACTGGTTCATATTTATGACAGTTGCAGTGCTCCAGGGTCTTGAGATCATCTTTTGTGACCTTCTGACAGGCAAAGTCGGTGGGGAAGCCAGACTCACTTAACAACCATGTTAATAAACAACCACAGTGTGGCAAGAAAGGTTGTAAAATGGGGCAAAACTCGCTTAACACATGTCTCACTTAGCCACAGAAATTTTGGGCTCAACTGCAGTCGTAAGCCGAGGATTACCTGTACTGAATGTTGAGGATCCAGCAACAGGCAAAATGGGGTCCCGCTTAAGTTGCACAACAGCGAGTTGAAGGCAGTGGTGGGATTCAAATATGTGAACAACCGGTTCTCTGTGTGGATGCCGCTTCCAGAAATCCATTCTAGGCCTGGGCAACAAAAAAATTAGCTGCCAGTGGTGCGAACCAGCTGAATCCCACCATTGGTTGAAGGGCTAAGAGCAGTGGTGCTCAACCTGTGGGTCGGGACCCCATTTGGGGTCGATTGACCATTTCATGGGGGTCGCCAAGCAAGGCTGTCCGCCATTTTTTTTGTCCGCCATTTTTTCCCCTTTTCCGGCGGGTGCCTTACCTCCCTTGGGCTGGGCCAGCTGGTGGTCGGCCTGCTCCGTCTCTGCCTCTTGCCAGCTACGCCTCGGCCGGCGCAGGGGGCGGAACCACGCATGCGTGGCGCTCCCGGGCAGGAAAAGTCCTCGACTTACGACCGGTTGGGTAGTCCTTGACTTACGACCGGTTTCATCCTCGACTTACGACCGGTTTAGTCCTCGACTTACGACCGGTTGGGGTCGCGGCATGAAAAAGGTTGAGAACCACTGGCTAAGAGAATACCGAAGGTGGCACCCACAGCCCAGGAGACTGATAGGGGATACTTGAAGGAAGGGCTCCAGCCTATTAGCGAGGAGGACCACTCAATGAAGGGGTGCATATACCGCATCTTCAGACACACCCCTATTTTAGCGAAGGAGAGGAGGCTGTGTGTGCGTGCGTGTGTGTGTGTGTGTGTGTGTGAGAGAGAGAGAGAGAGAGAGAGAAGGGGAGTAGGAGAACTTCCGCTCAGGTGAAGCAGGAGTAAAGTGCGCGGGCAAAACAAACCCACTCACGCACACACATCCCCGCCGCTTCTTCCCGCCTCCCTGACCGACTGAGCAGCTGCTGGCAGAATGCGCGCCAAAGGGGGCGCCCACAGAGCCCGCGCCGAAGGTAAACAGAGCCGGGGAAAACACGCGGCGGCGGCTGCTGCTGCCGCTACTGCTGTTGGCGGCGGCCCGCGCGTCTTCTCCGCTTGGCAAGTCCGCCGCCTCTCGGCTGCGCCTCTCAGCCATCCGGCTTCAGGCGTTGCAGGAGCTCCCGCCGGCATTTAAGAGGATTGTTAACAGTTGGGCACTCTCCCGAAGCTGCTTCCCAGCCGCCGCCCCCCCCCCCTTTCCCACCTCGCGAAGAGGTGGCGGGTGAAAGCGAAGAGCCACCTGGGCTTACGGACTAAGCAGCCCCATCCTGCCTCAGGCGCTGCTTTCCCGCTTTCCTCTTCCTCCCTTCTCAGCCAGCAGCAGCAGCAGCAGCAGCGGTACCAGCACCCTTCCCCCCCCCCTCCCTTCCGCAAGACCAGGCGGCGCGCAGGTGGCGGGAACGAAGCGCGGGGGGGTGTGTGTGTGAGGGGCTTCGCCGGTGGCAAGTGCCGGGCTTGCTGAGGGCTGCCTACGAGCGCCCCGCCGCTCGCCCACCGACCATGTTCCTCCGTTGCTGCTGTAGTGGCGGCGGCAGCCGCTGGCTGCTGCGTCTCCTATTCGTGCTGGGTGTTTCGGCCCTAGCCGGGGCGGCCGCGTCGTGCTCTTCTTCCTCGCCACTCAGCGAGGATTCGGTGCAGGGGCTGGTCCGGCTCGCTGCCGTGGTGATCGAGGGCAAGGTGCTGGCGCACAGCGTGGCCGAACTAACGGCTGGCCGGATAGGAGAAGGAGAAGGAGAAGGAGAAGAAGAAGCAACGACGTCGCTGGTGTCACCGCCGCTGTTGAGGCTGTCCGTGCAACCTGCCGCCGCCGCCACCACCACCATCATCCCCGCTTTCACCTCCAGCTCCTCCTCCTCTTCCTCGTCCTCCTCCTCGGGAACGATCCTCCCCTCCTCGCCGGCTCCCAGCCCCCCGCTCCCGCACCTCGGCAGCCCGAGCCCGGCGCCCGCCTCCGCCGTAGCTCGAGTGCGCGTGCACCAGGTGTGGCCGGCCAAAAGCGGCGGGCTGCGGAAGGACGCGCTGCTTTGGCTGCTGCTCGGAGAGCGGGGCTCCGCTTGCGGGAGCGCCTTGAAGGAAGAGAGGCGCTACATCTTCTTCATGGAGCCCCTGGGAGCTGCGAGCGGGAACAGCAGTGAGCCGCCGCCGCCGCCGCCGCCGCTGCTCTTCCGAGCGTCTTCCCCGCCCCTGGAGACGGGCAGGAATCTGAAGAAGGAGGTCAGCAGGGCGCTGTGTACCCGGGGATGTGGTAAGTCAGCTGGCGGCTGTTGGAAAGAGACGGGGGGGGGGGGGGGGGGGGGGGGGGGGGGGGGGGGGGGGGGAGGGGGGGGGGGGGGGGGGGGGGGGGGGGGAGGGGGCGAGGGGGGGGGGGTTGGAGAAAATAGAGGTGGCTTGGCTGGCCCGGATCGCACATCTGGGAGGTGGGAGGTGAATGAAGAAGAAGAAAAGGGGAATTAAAAAAAAAAAAGGGGGGGGGGGTGTTAAAGTCGGCAGCCAGTTCCTTATTTTCTCCCCTCCCCTCTTTCACGCTCCCTGGGTTTTCTGGACGATTTGGACATGGATGCTGGGTCGTCGTGGTTTTCAACGCTTTTCAAGTGGATTTCCGTCTGGCTGATTTTTTTCCAGAAGTTTGAGTGGCAAAGGGTGGGGAAAGTTTGGGAAAGCTCTCCGAGCAACAAGCAAAGGCTTACGACGTCTTCATCTTTGGGGCTTTTGGAGATGGTGAGAAAGAACGCGGTCTTTCTTTCTTTCTTTCTTTCTTTCTTTCTTTCTTTCTTTCTTTCTTTCTTTCTTTTCTTTCCTGGCCGTTGTTGTGTTTCAAAAAGATAACTTAGTTGGCTAAGTCTTTCAGGCCCTCGGGAGAAGAAGAGTAACTGCAAGGGGAAGGAAAGGGGGGTCCTTTTTGCCCCATCCATCCGAAGGGCTTCAGGTGTACATTTTTCTCCTTTGGAAAAAGAAAAAAAAAACAAACAAAAAAAGCATTTTGAAAGCAGGCCAGATTTGTTAGGTTTGGATATTTGTAGGTTGATCGTTGTTTGTCTTGGTATGCTTTTGCTAACTTTAGCACGGTTGACCATTTCAGCCTCTGATAAATTTTGCTTTTATGCTGTAAGATATTGCCAATTTATTCTGTGGTTGTAGAAAAGTACTTCCCTGGCTAGTATTTGACATGTGACATTGTGTAGATATTTTTGCTTGATCCTTGACAGGGCCCAGTCATTATGTGAGAGCCACCTTAATGTCATTTGAATTTTTTTCCCCCTGAAATTTGCTCCCATCGACATGAACAAAATAAACTGTATCAAGCAATTTCTCGTATGCTGATTCTGTTATTTCAGTGGCTGCAAAATGCTCAGTCTCTTCTTCCTACTCCTTTTCTAAATGCATCAGCATCTTGTAAGTGATTGTGAAATGCTTTAAGTTGATTGTTTGTCAGTGGAGTGCCTAGTCATGTTTTATAACACCTGAAACTTAGTCTTGTCAGTACTACGGTATTTAATGTTTGTGTTGTAGCCCGAGTAGATGTGTGGATAAAGGGCAGAACGATAGAAGCACAGGTGCTGAAGAGTGATAATTCTCAGTCAAATTCAGAAATGTTGTCTGTCTTTTTCATTTGATGTAATTTCTTACAGATTCATATTGGTCTGAACTGGCACGTTCTTTCGGTATTATTCATTTGATTAATTAATTAGTAATAATTTGGGCTTTTAATAGCAAAGGAATGGCAAATTGTCTCAGAATTACTGCAGAGGGGAACTGTCCACACTAAGCGGTGCTGATGTTGAGTAAATGACCTGGGGATTCCCTAGTACTGCAGGATAGATGTCACTGTAAAACAAGGGAAATACTGTGTGGAGACCTGACATATTGGCTGATATAAAAGCTGAACATTTCTCTGGAGGAGACTGTTTTTCTCTGGTGGTGCAGAGGGAAAGGGGAATGCTTTTTCTATCCCCTGTAATAATATGATACATACATGATTTGGTCAGCTACAAAAGAAGAACTTGGCATTAACATCACATGAAATAAGCACATAAAAGGAATTTTTGGAATATCAGAATATTATTTTGTCAGTTCTTAATTATTATTAGATATCTCATGAGATTGTTATTTAAAGATTCAATTTCTTCTGCGTTTAATTAACTTCTTTGGGGGCATTCTATACCAGATATCTTAAAAAACAGTGTAAAGCACAGTCTTTTAGATACCATTAATTTGCCATCATACTTACAGTACTTTGGGGGGGGGGGTTTGATATAACTACACACACACATACACACACCATATACACATATACATTTTCTCTGTCTCTGTCTCTCTAGAACGTAGTTATGGAGTCCTGTTAAAAATAATAAAAGAGAAAACTCAAAAAGAGAAATAGAAAACAATAGGCACACTTAAGTTAAACATAATGTGTACATCTAATATACATTATACACTTTTACAACATTATTACTGATTCTCAGAGAATGTGGATGTACAGTACACTCCGTCTGAAGAGCTTGATCTTTATAATTTATGCCTCAGTGTTTGTTCACTGTTTCAATGTCTGCTAGTGGTACAGTAAGAAATGGAATGTGTCTGTATTATTGTCAGTGCTAATTAGGTTTATACAACACTTTTGCCTTAACCATATTGAGTTTATCTATTCCTAAAAATAAAGAGGAGAGGAACATAACTCAGTAATCTACCTAACTTCTAACATACAATACTGCAGTTTTTATATTGGTAATGTTAGGATTGACAACTGATCACTGGATTTCAGATGCAAGTTCATTAGAAACCTGTAAGTACAAGTTCTGCTTTCTCAGTAGAGGATTCTGTACCATTTCCTTCATCAATAACGAACTGAATTTTTCCAGCTTTTAGTAACTGCATTCTTAAAATAGAATCTGTTGACCTCTCAATGCTCCAGACATTGCAGTGTAGCCCCAAATATTCATAAAGGTGGTGTAAAACATATTTTATAACAATGTTAAGTAAATAAGGCATGACGTAAACATATGCTATTATCTGGTTCCAGACTCATCTGCTCAATTAAGATGTCATGTCAAATCATGGTTTTATAAAGTTGATGTATTGCTTTGTACTATGGCTAAATTGACAAACTATGGCTTTTGACATTGATTATATACCCAGAATTAGAAGCTATATTTTCTAAGAAGAAATTTTGTAAGCAATGGCTGAAATCCTTTGACCTGGTTTTTTTTTTTTTTTTTAAAAAGAGCAAATTATGTTACTGCTTATATTACATGCAAACCAGACCTATATTTGAAGTAGTTGGGCAGTGCTGTCTAGATAGATAAAATAGCAGGGGCCATTCATGCTGCCTATAAAGCAACCTATGCCTAGATATGAAGTGCTCAATAAATAGAATGTGGAAAGCAAACAGTTCAAAATGTGGCTCCCATTTGTACTTTAGAAAACTCAGTTTAGACTCTAAGCCATGGTCAGCTTGGGTATCAGAATTCAGCCATTATATGATCAGCTAGTTCAGATTAGGATGCATTCAGTCTGTACTTAAACTGCAATTTATTTCAAAGGCTTAGCATCTCTGCCTTGTTATACAGGCCAATAAACTTGTGAAGTTTTATCAAAAGATAAAAACAATACCTTTTGGTCATTTTTAGATGGTGAATTTTTATATCTTGAAACTGAATTTTTGATTTGACAGGTAGTCCTTGAGTTACAACCATTCATTTAGTGATCCTTTGAAGTTACAACAGCACTGAAAAAAACTGATTTATGATGGGGTTTTCATACTTGTGACTGTTGCAGCATCCCCCTGGTCAGATGATCAAAATTTGGACACTTGGCAATTGACATGTATTTATGACGGTTGCACTGTTCCAGGGTCATGTGATCACTACTTGTAACTTTAAGCCTTCCCAGCTGGCTTCAGACAAGCACAGTTAATGGAAAAGGCCAGATTTGCTTAGCAGCTGAAGTGCTTCACTTAACAACTGTGGCAAAAAAAGGTTGTAAAACTCACTTAACAACTGCCTTTGCTTAGCAATATAAATTTTGGGCTCAATTGTGGTTTTAAGTCAAGGTCTACATTCTTAGGGAAGAAGTCTTGTTAATCTCCCATACATGCAAAAGTGCAAATTAATGCCAAATATAAGCCTCTGTGACGATTCCTTATAAAAATGAGGGTGTAGATTATCCATTCCGTATTTTATAAAAAAAATAAGTAGTGTATAGATGAAGGCAGGGAGATAACCTCTTCTTCATGGTTTGGTAAAACTCAGACGTGCTTTCAGATGAAAGGGATGTCAGAAAACATCTTCCCATTGTTTGACAGTCAACCTAATTCTATACTGCTGAAATAATTAAGTGCAAGCATCCCTCTTTTGTGTACTTCCAGCATTGTTTATAGACAGAGTGCTTTGGTGATGACGCCAGTTAACATGCAATTTCCATGCAGTACATACTTCACTGGCATACTGACGGGCAGCAGAAATTCATGCAGCTTGCTAATGGAAAAGGCCAGCTGCCACCAATGGCAATCAATAGGAGGAAAACGGGAATCCCCTCTTTTACTGTAATGATTGCAGAAGCGGTGATTAATTCAGTGGCTTTGCGAATACATAATTTCTGACTCGATTGCTGGCTTTATTGGTATAATATCTAGGCTCCTAGTCCCACCACTATCAAGACATTTGCCCAGTGCTGATCAAGGTGCATCTTTTGTCATCTTCTCAAAAGTGCTGGTAACAATGAGTATTTTATCTCTTATGTTCAGTAATGCTGCCATTCATTGAGATAATGCTGGCCAATGCTGATCAGCACTCTGGAAGATGATGCAAGAATCAGTACTGTAATAAGAAAAGTGGAATAAAATGTTCAATTCTGAAATATTCCGCTTTAGATTATATGCAAGTGAATGTTTCTACAGGTATGCAAATGGTCCCTGAATATGTATCCATATAATAAGCTCGTTGTTTCTATTAAATTAGATAAAACACATTTAAACCTCTTTTTATGTATTATTTCAACGCATACGTAGTGGTTTTGTTTGTTTATTTTTAATATAAAGGAGAATGCAAACATATGTCTATTCATCTGCAATCTGAGATACAGCTGAGAAGGAGTATTTAGTCTGTTTATGGATCAGTGGTTACTGAAGGTGGATATACTGTATCTAATTATTTTATATGTATCTTAATTATGTGTTTAATATAGAAATGCATTTGCTGAATAATTATTATGGATTATTCTTGTTCCTATATAAATCTAAATTCCACT